TTTAAATAAATTAATTTTTTAAAAATAATAAATAAATTGTATCACTACACATTGTAGTAACTTCATTTATTTATTTTTTTATAAAAAATAATTATACTCTATTAAAAATAATTAAATAAATTAAATTTTATTTAAAATATTATATATTAAAATTTTAAATAAATTTTTTATTAAAAAACAATTAATTGTGTCACTATAAACTATAACGACTTCATTAATTTATTTTTTTAAAATTTCCAAGCAAACATGAAACCTTTGTGTCGTCAGTGGCTGTAATGACTTTATTTAAAACACTATCGGCTATGACAACTTTTATAATATGACTTTTCTAAAAAAAAATAAAATACACATGACACTATAGTGACACTGTAATAAATTGCTCCAAAGGTATAAATAGTTTCAAAACAGCCTAATTTACATAATTAGTTTTAAAAATTACCCTACAATGGTTGATCAGCCACTATTAGTTCATCCAACCCTGAAAAGCTAGACTTTCAAAATTACGAACTGTATAATTAACATCGACCCCTTATAATATGTTCAATATTTGTTCAATAACTACTACATTTCACAACTCCCTGAAGGTCTAGTTAGTGTATACAATGTGACTAGCAATTGACAAGAAATTTGCCAAGAGGAACCTTTCAGGAAGAAGCTAAATGATGCATTTTGCGGGCAAAATTTTGATCGATTGTATTTCCTTATGTTCTGGCACTAGACACCAATTCTGAGTTTTCAACATTGCTTCCTGCATTTTCATCATTTACTGGAGGAGATGAAGGTGTCCTCGCTTCAGCCAAATTCAACCGCAAGGGCCGACCTTGTACCTCCTGAAAAACATTACATCACATTCAGAAGAAATGTGGGTATATAGTTAGACTGATAACACAATATGAGCTCTAAGATACAAAACTAACATGCCAAAATTGTTCTTACCACACCATTCATAACGTCCAAGGCAGCTGATGCAGATTCAGCAGTTTCAAAAGAAACAAAACCAAAACCTCGAGATCTCCCACTGTCCCTCTCATAGATGACCTTAGCACTCAATACGCCTGGCTGTTCAGCAAAAGCTTCTCTAAGACCCTGTGAGGTCAGTCCCCAACCAAGGTTTCCAGCATAGATCTTATGAGGGCTATCTATGAAGCCTCTGTAGTTGTTCCGTATTTTTGGTCCCATTACTAATCTTTCCCCTCCTTTGGGTACCTCTGGGAAGTTTACCTTAACAGTCCTACCACCAACTTGCTGTTCGTCAAAACAGTCATTAACATTAGCATTGAGATGATAGTTTAGATTAGAAAGCTCAGCTGCGATCAAGGCTTAATAAAATAATTTGAAGGCCTTCCAGTGGCATTAGTGTATGCCTTTTTATAAGATACTAGATTAGATATCTCCTATATCACAAGAACAACCAAAAAAAGAGAGATGCTATGGAAGAATAACATGCAATCCAAAATGATAGTAAGGGAAGGCAAATTAAAATGATCTCCCCAACTAATTTATAACCAAGTTTTAACAATGCACTAAGTTATTGCATCCACTCACAGTTTCATCATTTACAAACGGATGGAATCAAAGGAGGAGAGGGGTAAAAAAATTTGTTTGATTGAGAGGAGGACAGGGGAGAGATTTTAATGGAGGAAAGAGTAAATAACTCTTTTCTGGTTTGATTCACAAGGGGAGATGAAGGATTTCAAAAAACAATTTACCTTTGCATGTCTATAATTTTAAATTTAAAAACATAAGTTGAGATATTTTAGACATTATAAAAAAAATGTTTTAAAAATCTCCTCCCTCCCCTCCAAATCTCCTCAAATATTGGAGGAGAGCTAAAATTAGATGAGGAGGGGGTTTGCCCCCCTCTATTCCTCTCCTAAAAATTAAACTAAACAATAATAGTTTATAAAAACCCCTTCCCTCCCTTCCATTTCCCTCCAACCAAATACTATGTTAACCAACATTTTGTCATGATGTAATGTTACTAGATACTATATAGAAATATTAGTATAAATGGTGCCAAAAGGAAAAAAAAAAAAAAAAAAAAGTTGCAGTTTACAAGTTGGATTTTTTTTCTTTCAAGAATAATATATCATGATCCATAAGTAATTTATCCTTTGATAACTCGGTAATGGAATACCAAAACATGCTCTTGGGAATGTCTAACACTACTTCAATTAAAGGCAGCAGAACAAAATAAATTAACGGGATTAGAACAGCAGCTCTTTCTTATGGAAAGGCCTTGTCATTACGATTATGAACATTGCATAAGTACTAGTAACACACTCTCTAAAACTCCTTCTAGCATATTATCTCCTATTGATTGAAATTCATGTGACTCACTACACTAGTTTGGGAATGAAACCTATCAAATGGGGAATGAGACTCGCATATTCAGTAGGACTTACATTAAGTGCATCCGATAGAAGAGTGTGTTTGTTGCAAGCATTTCTCACAACAAAATTATGTAACAGCTAATGTATGAGACTTACCGCGCCATCAAACATTCGAATTGCCTCTTTAGCATCCTCTACACTCCCCATTGTAACAAATGCAAATCCCCTGCTTCTATCCGTGACACGATCATACACAATCTATAAAATTCAACAATAAAAAAAAAAAAGCACAGACCAGCATTAGATTGCTCCACAAAAACCTTGAATTTATCAATAAAAAAGGGCGAAAAGGGACTATAAAAATGGCAAAAAGAATAGGACAAAAACCTCAACAGACGCCACAGTGCCAGCTTCTCCAAAGAGCTCAGCCAATTGGGAATTCGTTATTGAATATGGCAAGTTTCCAACATAGAGCCTCCCAGCATCGTTTGAGTCCGAAACCTTTTGCTCTTCCTCTTGTTCTGCTTTTCCAAAGGTTAGTGTGTTTGGTTGTGGTTCCTCTTGTTGGGACTCTGTGCTGTCTTGAGCCACTTCCAACCCATCAAAGGCAGCGGAAGGAGGGGGAAGCCGGTGAAGTGGGAGAAAGGAAAGACTGAAACTTTGGGACTTGAGGTTGAGAGTGAGAGGTTTCAGGCATATGGGTCGTTGGCGGAAGTTGCTGGTGAGTGAAATGGAAGAGTGGGTGATGGAAAGGTTGTATATTTTGTTGCAGATAGGGGAAGAGGAAACAGAAGCCATTTAGTGAGAGAGAGGGTTGCGGTTTCAGAGTTGAGAAGTGAATTGGGTATGGAATCGGCACACAACAACTGTTGGGGTTTTCTAATTAACAGCTGAGTAGGATAAGGTTTTTCTTTGCTTCCGGCTGGGAACATGTCCAAATCTTACTTTTACTTCTCTGCATACATTTTTTTTTTTCTTCCAATTGTTTAACTAAAAAAAATCATCCTTTTCCAGTTGTATGGTTTTGTTATTGAGTGGAATGTTCAATATTTTATATTAAATTATTTTTTAAAACATTATTATGTTGTAATTTTTAAAAAAATTTAATATAATATAAGAGTTTAATTTCTATAATCTAATTTTGCAAAACTAATAAGAAATTATGTTATGAATAAAGTTATTCACTAAAATTTCTAATTAACTATCAATGTATTACGCCTCATCTATTTACTCGTCATATTATTTTAAGTCATTAGATGAACTTAATGTAATTAGTTAAAATAATATGTATAAGATCCTAGTTTAAATTTTGTTATTGTAATCTTAATTCATCGTGATAAAAAAGTATTAGGCCATTAAGAGTCCAGAGCTGATAATCTTAGTCAGAGATTATTGTAAAATTTTAAAAGTATTAATAAATATTAAAGTAATTTACAGCTCAATGAATCACTATTAGTTCAAAACTCACCTAGACCACTCCATAACAATCCTTTGAAACACCCGTAATGGTAATGTCACGAGTCAAGTATGAAGTTAAAGGGATGAAAAAGAAACGTTGATAGAGCAACTTGTTTCGTGGATGCCTTGGAGATGGTAATTTGGCAAGAATTTGAGCTGTTATCTCCCCAAAATTAGAAAGTAACATATTCCAACCAAATTTCCATAACTCAATGATTTACAGGAAATTTAGAATCTCAACTAAGCAACATCTCTGTCCCACTTCTGCAGAAACACAGGCAGTTCTCTTTTACTATAAAGAACAGTTAATTGCATGTTATTTATGAGTTATGATATAACAAATTAACTACGAGCCTAATACCTAGAGCCACATAAGTCTTTACTACAGCATCTAACGAGTGTTTCCTTCTATTTTGTCAAAGTAAGTCTGGAAACACAGGCCAACAGCTGAAAACTGAACCAGAATCCATATGATTGAAATTGTATAATACCATCTGGCTAAGTGAATAATACCACATGAAATTCTTAGCCATTACACCTACTTTTGACTTGCATGCTTCATCAGCAGGGATAATTCGCCGGGCTTGCCGTTTTCCAAATGCGAAGAATAATAAAACTTGGACGATACTCATGAGGAGAAAAACACACCAATGCTTTATTTTTCTTACAAAGATCACAGGACAAAGTTCTATAATACATTGCTCCTCAAAGTCAGAAATACAGAATACAACACCACGTTTAGACAACTATTAGAAGCACAGAAAACTAGAGTTTCAAGCTTTTTATTTTCACACAAAGACACATAGTTGTCTTCTGCATCAGGATATCAAGTCATTGGTTTTGTACCATGCCAAAGACATTCCAGTGCAAAAAGACAAAGACAGTACTACTACTACTACAGGTACATTGAGCCAAGGATGAGTTGCCTACAAGTACAATAATGAGCCAAGGATGGATTGCCTACGCATGAGCCAAGGATGGATTGCCTAGACCAGATGTTAGGACGATCCTACAGAACGAAACTTGTCACAGCCAACACAATCAACTGAAACAAAGCTTCTTCATCTGGTCTCAACAAGGATGTTGCAAATCAAACTTTAAGGTTGCAGCAATTACCTGCTGCTGCAACCCATTTGGGGGGTATGATCATACCACGCCCACCATCGATCATGTCTGCCAGAGAGTGGACAGCAGATCCAAGATGATTGAGGGAAAAGCTGTCGAGGCCTCCCCGCGAATACATGCTAGTTACTTCAGAACCAGAAATATTTGGACTGCTGCCATTAGTCTCCTTTGATGAGTTCATAGTTCCAACCTCAGATTGAAGGAATTCAGAACTCTGAGAGCCACCGGAATGCAATTGTTCAACTGTTTTATGCACTTCATTTCCGCTCTTACCATTTCCACTAACAGAATTCCTTGTGTTCAAGAAGCGACCCCCACATCCTCTTGGTCGCCGCATTGCATGGAGATGGCGTGATTCGTGCATGTAGGGCTGTAAGACAAACATAAAACTCAAATAACTACAAAAGTGATAAGGAAATAATACTATTTCACAAGCAATCAATGTGTGTGATCACTATCAGCATAGAATGTGATTATGTGGTGATTGGATATTTGAATACACAAATGCCTATTACAAATTTTATTATGTTAAATTTTAAATGTTCTTCATATCATAATTTTAAACTCAGATATACTCTGTTGGCCCTTGGGGTCACATTATGTTCATTAGTTCAAAGATGAAAAAATATTTAAAATATGAGGAATCATACCTTGCGACGTTTAGTCAATTTGTGATTAAGTACAGCTTTGGCACGGGACTGCCGGCGTCTAATGATTCCGTGGTACTGCTTAGCATTTACGTAAATTGGTCCATCATCAGATGTCATGTTAAGTGGCAGCATTATACGCCCCTAAATTGTAACAGAGGGTACTTAGATGATTTAGTAAATAGAGAATGATTTACACTAGATAAGCAAATAATAACTAAAGGCAAATACATGTTGAGACTTGATAGCATGGTATGGTTTATAAGGATTAAAAAGCTTGCTGAAGTAAAAGACAAACCGAAATTTGCTGTGCATAGGTTGAGAACAGCCCGTAAAATTGATCCGTATAAGGATATTTTGTACATATCTACAAAGGGGAAGATACCAAGCATAAGCAAAAATATGTTTACACACAAAAATGAAATGCTAAAATATCAAAGTGGTTACTTTTGAGAGAAGTTTTACCATGGGCTGACTAAATCCTATCTCAAAACGAGAGTTGGGGTCAGCAAGTGATGACTGCAGTGATATGGTTGTTTGAAGCTTTTGTGCATCATCTGACATTTTACAATCATCTGAAGAAGAAACGTCTTAATGGTTAACCACAGGAAAGTTGATGTGTCAAGTGCAGCAAAAACTTTCACTTCAAACAATTGAAAAACAAAAAAGCATAGAATAGTTTTCAACGTAATCAACAATTCAATTGGAGTCTCATATAATTTTAGGTTAATCAGAACTTAAGCCAAGAAAAAATCAATTTCAAGTGTGTTCAAAGGAAGCACATGGGCATAAAAGGATTATCTCATTTTATCTGTCTTACGATTTGATAACCAACATTTTTATGATTACAATCTTTATGGAATTTTGGAAGACAGCATGAGAAGAAGGAACGGGAAGACAGGAATCATTCTTCATGCAGGAATTGGCTTCATCCTGTATCATCCATAATACAAATAATTTGAAAACACAAGTTCAACTGTGTGTGTGTTTCAAAGTCTGAGTGAATATATCCTATTGTTGGTCACAATCTATGGGCTTCCTCCTGCAATATCTTAGCTTATGAAATGCACCAATGCAGAAGTCCCTTGTAAGGTGTCTGTGGAAAGTGGTTTCCTCAAAATTGAAGCCAATTAAGCACTGAAATGCTCTCTAAAAAATTTTTAAAAAAAATTAATGACTTTTTTTGAGGACAGAAAAAAATTCAAACGATGTTTAATTTTAATACCTTAAAATTAATGACTTGTTCACAGTAGTTTCACTCAAAATTCAATTTAGTCCCTAGAGTTCAAGTTTTAAAACCATTTGAGATAGTCCCTATAGTTTTCAAAGGATGCAAATTAACTATGTTAACTGGATTTGTTCCCTTTTTAGAGTGAAATTATAAAACTATAATAGGGACCGTTTTTCATTGTTTGACAATTATAAGGGCCTTTTTAAACGGTTTTGGACCGTAGAAAATTGAGTTTGGAGAAAAACTATGAGTGATTTAACCTTTGTATTTCTTTGGGAAAGGGGTAAAGGGGTAAAGGGCTAAAGGCTCCTCCGCAATGTTTCCAATGAAGGCATTTTTTATCTTTCACCGGTACAAGTCAGTAAGCACAACTAATCACACTCTAATGTTAGTAAATCAACATAAAAGATTATGTTGAAGTCCTTAGATCTTTCATACGCATAATTCTTTTCCTTGTGGTGATGGCAACCATCATTCTGATTTTCTGAACAACAAGGCCCATTGTTTGCACATCATTCTTCTCTCAACCAACAATTTGTCTTAAAACAAAAGCTTGCCCACATATGAAGCTACTTTACCATGTTCTGCTTTCTTTGAAGGATAAAAAAACAAAAAAGAAAGAGTTGACAATAGGCAGTTTAGTTGCAAGGTAGTTTCTAGCATTTGTTGCAAGGTAGTTTCTATTCATCCAAAGCTTAAATAAATAAATAAATAAATAAAAGAATAATCTTTGCCTTTTCTTTGATTTCCCAAACTATGTGCAGCTAAATGTGTTTGTATAGGCGTTTGCCCATCCATTACGTGACAAGAAATATTTGGTGGAAGCATGTTTCCACAAACACACCCTAAAGTGATACGTGCAGCCTAATACCCTCCATTTAGATTTTTCCAGACAGAATTATTATATCGTTTACTGTTTGTTTATCATCATAAGTCACCTCACATGATATCCATCTCCCAAAAATTTTATGGCAAAAGATCACAGTTGATTACAATTACTAATTTGGTTAAAACACACGTAACTAAATTGTACGTCAAATCCAAAACCAAATTAAATACCTGGAAAGATGGTAAACTGAGTTGTAAGTCCTTTACCCAAAACTTGTTCAGCTCCTCTTGTCGATGGCTTAGTGGCAGCAAGTTGGTCTATGCAGTTAGGCAGCTCCAATGAAAACGGTTTCATTTGACCACAAGACTCCCCATGAACCGATTGAGATCCAAAAGCACTCCACCAGGGTGCTGAAGCTGCAGATGACAACTGCCCCACAAAATTGTGTGCATTTCCTTCATGTTCTTTCAGATAAACAGTTTGCATCGCCATATACAGCCTCCAAAAAATGATTTCTAACTTAATATTTTTTTGTGTACAGTAAACAACTTCCTGTAACCAAAAAAGGAAAAACAGTTACCCGAGGGCCAGATACAATATACAGTTTTAAAAGATCAAATTTACCAAGAAAGAAAAAGAAGAATAGAGGAGAGAAATATCACACACCTCAGATTTTTATCCAGTCTTCAGCATAAGCATCAACGGAAAGGAGCTGAATTGAAATATACATCAAAACAGAACTTCAATTACCATGCCTTAAGAATATCAATAATCAATAACAATAATACACAAAATGAGTTAACAAGAGCATTCTAGAAAGCCAAAGCAATAAAAACTGAAGACTTTAGAGCTTGAAAGTGGGACATAAAAGTGAAGATAATTAGAAGAAGACAAAAGTAAGATGGGAATTACAATCAAGAAAGGCACAGCCCAACAACTATCCCAACAGAAAAGTACAAAAAATAAACTAGAAATGATCTTACATACAAAATACGAAACCCAGATACGTAAACCAAGTACACCACTAGCAGAATCACAAAACCATGCTAGAGAAACGAAAAAAAAAGCACAAAAGTCAAGGTCCATAGAGTGAGTTGACAAGAGCCGTTAACTCCAAGAAAAAGAAGAAACAAAGGGAGAACACTAACATATGAAACTCAGTTGTGGAAACTGAAGAGGGAGTAGCAGCATCGAATCCTACGCAGAAGCAGAGTTAACCCCATTAGGTTGGAGTCATGTCGGTACAATATCAAGCAAAAGCACACACACGCGCAAAGGAGAGAGAAAGAGAGAAAGTGGAAGTAAAGGGAAAGGAGAGATATGAAAGCGTACAAGTGTAATGGAAAACAACACACCAATGAGCTTTGCTTTTCATGCATACCAAGGTCCCTCCACCTCCTTTTAGTACTATGTGACCCGTTTTTTATTATTATTTTATTTTTAAATGAATTATAACATCACTCACTGCCACAAATCTTTTTGTAGTATTCATTCTCATCGATTACACTTGCTTTTCTACCTCTGTCTGTTCATTCTTTAACCGAAAACAGGATGGTGCAAAAAGAGATGGTGGCCAAACTGTGCCAATATTTTAAGACCACCCCTCTATTTGTGGCAATGTCCCTTAATTGTTTTCTAATTTTATATTCTCACTAATGCAAGTGGGAGAGGTACCTTATGCTAAGTTTTAGATATTTGATCTGTGGTCCTCACTTCACAAGTTTGCATGCTTTGCTTAGCTCTAGAATTCGATGACTAGGCTTTGGCCCATTACTCACAAGAGGGGTCGGTTGCAATAGGAGCATTGTATATTATCCCATTTTTCTATCGACAAATTTGGTTGCTCAAGAAAATTGTCTAGATGTGTCATTTCCCTTTAGGGCTTTGTTATATGTGAATAGAATTGTTGTTTCCAACACTCGAAAGTTTAACCGTTTCATGCCCTTTGAAAACTATATTGACTTAACTACCTTAAAGTTGTCTATCACTTTCGTGATTCGAATATGTTATATATACGTTGTGGGACAACAAATATATAGGCCTTTTGGCGTTCGCTTAGTTTTAAAAATATATTTAGGTTACATGTAGTACCCTCTGATTTTTCTGATTAAAAAAAATGATATGGTTGTGCAGTAGTGTGTACCTAAAATAAATTTACACATATAGAAACCAATCTATACGTGAAAAGGGCATAGCACTATTACGACTGGATATTGCTGAGTTCTAGGATTGATCTCTCTTAGTTTGACTTTGATAAAAACACCTTCATACCTGGATTGTTACATAAGAGAAAAATGGCTGAGTAGATGAGTTGTTATAAGATACAAGCTTATTGGTAAGATACAAGCTTGGTCGACAAACGATTGTAATACCAGTGCCGAAAGCCATGAAGATCATTCGCGATAACAGTAATGTCATGATTTGTAAGACTGACAATAAGTTTGGAATTCATGTTAAAAATAGAACCTCTATGTAAAGGAATTTTTAGGATTGAAACATCTTACTCTTTAAATTCTGAACTCAGACTACAGTTATTTTTTTGCCCACTGTTCTAACACACCGATAATTTGAGAATATATCAACAAATTACAACATCAATATATATAGGAATTATTGGCTTCATATTATCAATATTAATTTTTAAAACACTCAATTCATAGTCTCCTTTCCTCCTCTTGAAAATTTGATAGGTAGCAAAAAAATAAATAAATAAATAAAGCTAATGTTATTTCTATATATTTTTATATATGGTTGGAATAAGTATGCACGCGGTAGAAATTTAAAATAATTAGTATACGTAATTAACGGCTGCAGCAATTTTAATTTTGACCGAATAATTTCATCCATCCACATACAATAATAAAAAAAAACAGCAGAGCAAAGCTTGAATCCATAAATTTTTTAGTGTTAAAATATAGTAAGGGAATGAAAGAAATGATTTATAATAGTTGGGAATTGTCTCTACGAGCCATTTGAATTTTAGCGACATGTGTAGATTTTGTTTGAAGTTCATTTTCATTAGCCGGCTAAATTGTTTATGATTTCTACGATGGATTAAGGCATCTCTCTAAGTTAACTGTGAAACTTTGCAAGACCTCTTTTGTTGCATCATCCGGCTCCTTTTCTTCTGCCTTTCTTACTTTTGTGAAGAGAACCTGGTCACCAAATAATTATACATTATATAAATGCAATGAAACACATACACATATATAATCATTAACCACTAACTAAAAAGAGAGATGTGAACTGTGAAGACAAACACGGAAAGTGGCCAAAATCAGAGAAAAAAAAAGTACAACAAAGGACCACTCATTAATATCCATTTGTTGGGATTAAAAAAATTGTATTCTCTATTTGTTCATTAGTTTTAAGATTCAATCAATAGATATATTCATTTACCGTTTGGAAGAAGAAGAAAAAAACTTGTCCATTATCCTCTCACTATGTTCTCCATTTTATTTTATTTTTCTTTTTGTTGTCGCTCGAGATAAATTTAAACATGGAATTGCTAATTAATGCATTACGCATCTATTATCTTTGTTATGTATTTTTCCCTAATTTTTTTATAAAAAAAAAAAAAGAATAAACTTTCTATGTGGCATCTTTGAAGTATAGTTAACAGATTGTGCTCTTTAATTATTTTCAATGCTACGTTGATTTCCATGTTATTTATATAAATCATATGTATATCATATTCTTCCTTATACATAGACTTGCTTCCTATACTGATCTTTTCTTTGATGAAGGGTTATTTTCTAGGTGTCACCGATTGCACCTAATGTTATTGGAATTTTAGCTCATCATCTCAATAATTTATGAGATGTTATAATTAGGATCCAAGTTGTATATTGACTTGCTGCCTACTCTTCCCTGTTTCTTTTCTATGAAGAGTTATTTTCGTTACTTTAAAATTTCAGTCAGAAAGTGATCCAAGGTATCTCTCGGAAGATAATACCCAATACTCATGGATTTTTAGTTCGTCATCTCCAAATTCTGAGGTGTCATAGGTTCATTCTTTAGATCCTATTACAGTATTACATGTATGTGTCCCGCATTTTCATTATTTGTCCCATTTTCATAGGGTTTTTTTTTTAGGACCCCATTTTCATAGGTTAATTAGAACCGTTAGAGGTAATGCTTTTCATGCATAATATTTATCCCTTATTTAAAGGTTAGTGTGCACATTAAGGAGTATTTAATAAGTGTAAAAACAAAAAATATTTAGTGTAATATACCCCTTTTTAATATAAGGTATATATGATATTTATTGTTTATTATAGTTCTTTTTAAATATGTTGCAAGTACAATATTCTACGTAAAGATGAAATCTAGTTATTTTAAATAGGGATATATACGTGAAAAAATAATTAATAAGAATTATAATTTAAAAAATATCAATAATTTTGGAGGAAAAAAAAAGGCTAAAACATTAATGATTTTGGATCAAAGGCAATATTTTTTAAGTGACGTGATTTGGCCAAAGTCAACAAGTGTACATTGATATCACTTTTTATCATGAACAAATCGTCCCTTACTTTAATCATTGATTTAGAAACCTCAATGTGGGTATCATCCATGAAAAATAAAACAAATTAATATGATGTTACTATAAACATGTTTTAGCTTGTTGCGATTCTTATATGGTGAGATCTTTGTCATTATATTGAATTCTTCATTGATCCCTTTCTTAGCTAACGTGCACTTAATTTTCCAACGATATTTCTCTTATTGATTATGAATCAAAATTTAATGTATCATTTATATATTTTATAAAGTCTTTCATATGTAATCTTATAGGTTCAATTTGTTTATATTCATCTAATAAGTTCAAACTATATATTTAATCTAATTTCATTCATCTAATGAGTTCAAACTATACATAATTTATCTTTATTTATCTAATGGGTTTAGATTGTCTTGTTTCATAAGACTTAGTCTTAATGTCTTTAATCTATAAATAAGTCTATCTACAATTACTTCGTTCAATATTTCATGTTTTACAATAAATTTTAATGATCCAATAATTGAATTTAAAGTTCTTAATACATAGATCAAGTCTGTAAATTTTTTAAAAAAATAAAAATTACTTGATACTTTGTTTCATTAATTTAAATCAACGTATAAAATATTTTTATGATTAGCCATCAATTTGAATTCATGAAATGAATTATCAAATAATTTTTAATTTTTTAAAAAATTTGAAAACTTAATATTTGCATTAAGAACTTTAAATTTAACAGATGGATCATTAAAATTTGATATAAAATATAAGTTATTAAATGGAATAAGTTTAGATAGACTTACTCATATAATAAACAAATCTCTCTTTAGTGAGCAATTGCCCCCACTAAGTTTTCTATTTTTTTTAATTAAATGCATTTAATAGTAAAATTTTCCCCCACAATAACTAAATATTATATTTATAAAATAATGATTTTTTTAAATGAGTGTTGCAAAATTGTAATAGATAAAAATAAGAATAAATTAGTACTAATTTTATTATTTTTATCCTAATTTTTACCATTTCATTCTTAATCAAATACTAAACAAACCACACAAAATTACAAGTATGAGAACAAAGTGCTAAGTATGAGTACGAAGAGTTGAAAAGAAGATATGTAGAGAGAAAAGGAGAATCGACTAGAAAAATCAAGGGATTTATGAGAAAAGTAAGAGGTTATTTTATTGTAAGAACTTGATCTTGTTTTTAGATAGTAAAATTTGCTCTCTTTAGTGAATGTAGGTCAAATTGGTTGAATCACATGAATCTATTGTATTATCTTCTCTTAATCTTTTTTATTTTGCTATTGCATTTTTGTCTTTGTTTACGCTTTACGTTCTTATTAAATATTCTTGTTTCTATGTTTTTTTTTTTACTTGTTCTTGCATATATATGATTTGTTATTTTTTTTTCTTCTTGATTTAAAACCAACACGTCTCAAATATAAGTCTCCATATTCCTATACTCTTTCTGTGTCGTTGTTCACTAATGAAATACACTTCTTGACCAACCTTACCATATTAGGAAGACTTTTGATATCAACATCTTTACTTTTACCTTTTCTTCAAGCCTAACTAACTAATCAAATTGATATGATTATAATATTATTTGTTGGTGGGTTGAGAAGATTAATTAGAAAAATTAGTAAACTAACTGTAAAGACCAAAGAGTATCTAACACTATGTGTCCACACAAAATCTTGAAGTATTAAGATTATGTCTTTGTCACATTTATTTTGCTTAACATATTTATCTCTATTTAAAACATATATATAAAAAAAATCACGTTCACTCTAGCATTTTTTCAGGTAAGTTATGGTATTTTACCCTCTTATAATAAAAGTTTAATTTAG